TTTTGGGTTTTTTTTTTTTTTTTTGGTATGAGGAATCAAACTCACAACCTTGTGAGGCAGGTACGGTTTCACTGAGCTAAATCCCTGGTCCAGGACTGTGCTTTTAACGGCAAGATTTCATGGAGCTGCCACACGGAATGCCATTCTGTTCCCTGAACATACATACTCAGAGCCCAAGACTGGACTTTGTGGTACTTTAGATCCTTCTGCATTACATTCATCAAAGCAGAGCTCACACATTTCAGAACAGTGCTTGTAATCTCAGGTGTGTTTTCAGTCTGTGGGCTGCATATTGGTGACTGAGATGGAGTCAGATTCCCTTCTCTTGGTCTTCTCTTGGTCCAAAGGTCACAGGTTTTGTAGATGAGCATCAGGAGACTCTGTAATAATCAGGAGGAAAGGAAAGGAAGGGGATAGAGTGGGAATTTCCAAGGGCCTGTACTTGCAGAGATGAAAAGGTGAGGGAGACAATGACTGGAAAGTCACTGACCAGAAGCGGTGGCGGAGTCTGAGGGCTGGAGAATGACACTTCCTTTTGGGTAGCAGTGGTGACAGCAGTGGAAACTAAGTGCTCCGGAGAAATTATGGTCAGAACAGGGGTGCGGCTCCAAGACATCACCAGAGCACAGCGCTTCTAGGAACAGTTGGGAGTTCTTGTAGTTTTGGAAATACTGTGATGTCAGCCAGACTCCGGATCCAAGTATGGCATTCAGGTGACTGTTTAGCCTCCATCCATCCCAGACTTGAGAAATTGGAGTTATTTCATCCTTGACCTGAATACTACATCAGTTTGAAGTAATAAAACTGTTCTTTGTTTTGTTTTTTTTTGGTACCAGGGATCGAACTCAGGTCCTTGTACTTGCAAGGCAGGCACCGGAACCACTAAGCTAAATCTCCTCCTAAAGCTGTTCTTTCTTGTTTTTATTTCACTAAAATTGTATTCAACATCAGTGTTTTTGTTTAGTTTTCTATTTCTTAATAAAATGTCCTGGTTGACAGAGTTGTGCTGCCTCTCGGTGGGCAGAAGAGTTGCCTGGAGTGGGGATGTGATGACGGACGGCTATGGTGAGTCCCTCCCCTTGGCCAGACTTGGGTGCTTTTAGGCTGTCAGTCATGATTTTTAGTCTTTCTGTCAGCTTTTCAAATGTGTGTTGTGAGGGCTTCAAAGAAATGGATGAGAAGACAGAAGGACAGGTGACCAAGAACGTAAGGGAAGAGTCAAGGGAGCAGCCGTCCATCGTCAGCAGCAGATGCCTTTCCTCTTTGTGAAATGAGATGGAGCTGATTTGGACAGGAATAAATGAAGAACGGGCTTAGTGATGATGGGCGTCGTGGTGTTTGGATTCTGAACGTGTTCACCGAGTTGTCTTGCATTTTTAACCCTGCCCTTTGACCTTTGTCACTTCAGGTGCTGCTTGTGAGCAGTAGTCGCCACCCAGACCGATGGATCGTCCCTGGAGGAGGCATGGAGCCCGAGGAGGAGCCGGGGGTGGCAGCCGTCCGCGAGGTGTGTGAGGAGGTACGTGCTGAGAAGGCTGTCCTGTCACGCGGTTCTCCAGTCCATCCCTGCTCCCTGAGTGCACACGCGATCCCAGGAAGACAGTGTTTCATGCTTTCTGCATGCCTTCTTGGTGCAACTGTGATTGTTCATGACATGGGAGTGCTTAGCGGGCTCTCCCTGTAGGAAGAGGCTCACAGTGGGGGCCACATGTGAGGTACCTCATGGTCCTTTGTGGCTTCCCAGGGACCTCTCACAGCATGGCCCGTTGCCTGTGGAGAGGGTCCAGTATTGGTCGTAGGCAGTAAGAGGAGCTTACTGGGTCAGTATGATAGCTCATTCTAATTAACCTTGGAATGAAGAAGAGGAAGAGGCCCTTCTTTCCTGTGCTTCCTGACTTCTCGCCTCGGAAGTGGCCAAAGCAGTAGTTGTGTTACCTAGGCTGGTAATGGTACTGCTTAGGAAATAACAGCCTCTTCTTTATTTTTCCCCCCTGTTACTGGGGATCGAACTCGGGTCCTTGCACTTGCGAGGCAGGCTCCAGAACCACTGAGCTAAATCCCCAGCCCACAGCCTCTCCTTTTTACATGGAATCACTTGATGTCCAGGATACATGTATTGAGCTCCTGGGCCCGCAGGTGTATCTTACCAGATACTCGAGCATAAACAGAAGTCAAGTCATGGACCCTTAGTCCCTTATTTCAAGAGTTCAGGGGAAGACTGAAAATCGATTGCAATTTAAAAACCAAGGGGAAGGAATTGGTGTTTCTCCATCCTCTGTTGGTGCAACACCGCGCTCCGCTCCACTCAGGTTGGCAGACTTAGGACTTGTTTCTTGGTGGTGTACGATTTATCGTCCTCATGGACTGGCCCTAGCACCCACAGGTAGTTGTGGGTTTTTTGGTATAGGTAGTATTTTTAAAAACTATTTAAGATTGATTCTTGGGACATACAAAATAGCTCTTAGAACATCTCCAAGCTGTATTTCTTTGTCCAACTCTTGCTGAAGTCCCTCAGACCAACCCTACTGTGGAACACCTGAGGACTCTCTCCTTGCTCTGGACCCCTTCCTGCAGTCTCACCTGTACCTAGCATCCATAACTAGGCCATAACCTCTGCAGGCTCAGGTCTCATTTCCCACACAGAAGCCTCTCTTCTGGGCCTCATGTGCACCTCGGAGGGTGGAAAGCAGGTAACGGCTGTGTCTGGCACAGTGGCTGGGACAGGGCTGCACATGCTGAAGAAACGCCCAGAGTGCATATTCAGAGTAGCAGAAGCGATTCCGGGCGGAGAAGATGTGGCCGGCCCTTTAGTGGGCTGTGAGGAGGCTGCTGGGTAGAACCACCCCGAAGTGAGAGGGGCATAACGAAAAGCTCCTTGCCCTGGGAATCCCTGTGGTAGAGGCTGACACCTAGGGCCTAGTGCTGGCTCTAATCTCCTAACATAAAAGCTACTTCTATTATGATTTTAATTTTTTTATTCCTATATTTGATTAAAGATACTTGCTGTAACACTAGAAGAAGTGATCCTGTTAACAGACTAGGACCTTGGTCAGCCAGTACTATACCCGGCCCTGGAACCAGGCATGGCCAGAATTCTGCAGCGCCCCCAACGGGCGAGAGTGGGTGTGGGGCAGTTGCTGCAGTGCTGTCCACGGGAGGCTGTGTGTCAGTCCATTGTCACTGCGACAAACACCTGAGCACCCTCTGTGAGTCACTTGCTGCCTTCCACAGCTGCTTCCCCTCCACAGGGAGAAGCTTGCAGTCTGGGCTTTGGGGCCTGTGGTGAGTGCACCATGGTTGCAGACGCTCTCCATGCAGTGAGGAAGAGACCAGGCCCCACAGTCCCGCTGAAGGCCCTAGGGGACCTGAGCCTTTTGCACCAGGCCTCGCCTCTTAAAACTCACGCCACCTCTGGGCACTGAGCTGGGAACCAAGCCTGCGACACATGGGTCTTGGAGTGTTTACGGTCCTAGCTGTAGCAGTGGCTTCCTCCCCGGTCTCTAGTTCTTCCCAGCCGGTTTGTCTCGCTGCGTGTCCGGGTTGTAGCCGCCATCAGTGCTGCTCACCCGTGGCTCGTGCTGGACTCTGCATGTACGTCCTGTCAAGCGCCAGCTGATTCGGTCCCCTCAGCGCTAACACACAGCGAGTGTGAATGCAGTCGGTAAAGCCGTGGGTGGCCACGAAAGTGCCGCTGAGGCGGGTGCTTCCGGGCTGTCCAGAGTAGAGGTGATCCTTGGGTCCCTGTTAAGTGAGAGCAACGCGACAGGGTCACAGCAGCTGCCCAGTCCGGCCTACGGAGCTGGACGCTTGGGTCACAGAGGTGGGTGACTGTGGGTAACTGGGTGTGACACAGCAGCGGTTCCGCGCTCTTCCGCGGAGCAGGGCCTGCGCTGCACTCTTCACCTCTGCTCGGCCTCCTCTTCGTGTTTTCTCTGCCTTGTGCTGACTGTTTCTCAGTTTCCCTAGAGAGGCCCTGATTGGTTTGCCTAGTTACAGCCTCCTATAGGAGATCCCTGCGTCCCTGTGAGCCGAGCAGCCAGCTGGCTTCTGCTCCTTCTCTAGATGGCTGCCTTCCCCTGCATCCATTGCTTTTTCTCACTCTCTTGCTGTGCTGCTCAGATCAGTGAGGTCATTGCTATAAAAACAGACAACCTGTGAAGAAATGCCAGCGGCGGCTTTACCCAGAGTCCTGTAAATGGACAGCTGCAGCATGTTCCTGAGAGATGGAAGCAGAATGTATCACCATTTATGATGTGAAACCATTTGGTAGGGAAGAAATGTCTTGTTGGATGCAGTGGTACAAAACTGTCTCAGCTACTCGGGAGGCTGAGGCAGGAAGATTGCAAGTCGAGGTCAGCCTGGGCAATTTAGGGAGACCCTATCTCAAAATTTAAAAATCTTTAAAAAGGGCCGAGGGTGTAATTGCGTGGTAAAGCACCTCTACACTCAATCCCCAGTACAGAAAAGGAAGGGAGAAAGGCAGGGAGGGCCTTGAAGATGAGGTGTCTTGGGGGAGACGAGCTGTGGCCGTGCATTTGTTTAGACAGAGGAAGAGATAACAGTGCTTGTCTGCTCTCTGGGTGTCAGCTGTCCTAAAGCACCTGGCACGTGGTCGTTGTCTTCTTGATCCTCAGACCCTGTGCAGTAGGAACTGTTATTTTATAGGTGAGAAAAAAACTATGGTTCTATGAGATCAGTGGAACAAATTGTGTTCAGCCTGGTGTACTTAAGACTCACATTCACATCTGAATCCAGGGCCTCCTGTTTCAACACTCACTTTCCTAATGCTGTGCTTCCTGAAAGAGTGTCTGCCAGTGTTGATACAGTGGTTTTCTCTGGATTAGCTCATAGGTTATCATGTTCTCTGCTTTGAACATATATTTATATTATTACTGAAAAATTTTCTATTGAACATGAATGGAATAGGATTATTAGGCAGGCAGCTGATCATTGCATAATCCCACTACTCGGCTGCCATTAAATTCAGCTTGTTTAGCATGGCTTTATAAATCAAGCACATGAGTCAGGTGTGGTGGTGCATACCTGTAGTCATAGGCTGATGCAGGAAGATCTTGAATTTAAGGCCAGCCTGGGCAATTTAGTGACTTGGTGAGACCCTGTCTCAAATTTTATTTTCTCCAATACTGGGAATCAAACTCAGGACCTTGCACTTGCCAGGCAAGTGTGGTGTCACTGAGCTAAATCCCCAGCCTGCCAAATTTAAAATATTTTTAAAAGGATTGGAGAGGCAGCTCAGTGCAAAGGCCTGGGGTTCAGTGTGCAGTACTTAAAAAAATAAACCAAAACAAACAGCATACTGGCTGAGTTCATAAACATAAATCTGTTGCACTTAAACATTAGCAACCATACTTAAAAAGAGAGCTAAAATATTCTCCCTTTGTAAAAGCCGTAGCTCTCTATAGTCTAAATCCTACTATGGTACCAGCTCACTTTGTCCCAGGGCCTTCACAAGGGCAGCACAGGTGTATGAACCAGTCCCCCACGGTAGAAGGTACAGCACCTCATTGTGTGTTGAGAGCTCTTCCTTTTTGCTAGTGCAGTGGGAAAGATGAAGCCATAGCTGACAGAGAGAAGTTGGGTCTAGCACTGCCCAGTCTTCTGTTCCCATCGTATTTCCACCCCTCTCGCCTGTTATCTTCTTTCCCGTGTTCTCACGAAGATAGAGGGCATCCAGAAACAAACTGAGTAACATCGCACACGCATCTGATTAACCTGCAACCACGTAGACCCAGGTGTGGCACACCTGTGTCCTGGCGTCTGGGGCGCAAGAGCCAGGAGCACTGCACGTCCGATCCTTGGTGAGACCCTGTCTCAAATAAAATGTCCAAAGGGCTGGAGACACAGCTCAGAGTAAGGGCCTTGCCTGGCCTGCGCAGGGCCCTGGATGCCAACCACTGCCACAAGAGTAAAACAGTGCAGTGCACAGTGCCCACCCACACGCCCATGGCTCCCACACCTCGTCCTAGCTCCCTGCTGGCAGCTCCGCCATCACAGCACTGGATGGGACATGGCTTCAGGTTGTGATGTCTCTTGCTGTGCTCCCTCCCACCCTCCACATGCCACGGGACGTGAAGTAAGACTGTTGCAGTTGGGGAGAGTGTCCGTAATGTGGTGTCTTTGGCGTTTCTTTCTGTGGGAATCTTGAGCTCAGTGCTGCTTCTTGCCCTCTCCAGCCTTGCTAATCTGTCCCCTCTGAGTCTGTCAGGAGTCTTTGATAGGGCCGGGAATTTAGCTCAGTGGTTCTGCCACCTGCCTCACAAGTGCAAGGTCCCGAGTTCGATCTCAGGTACAAAAAAATAAATAAAATGAAAGAATCTGTTTCAGCCCTTCTCAGTCCATTACCATTTTCAAATGAGAATGTACACAGTGCCAGTGGGGCACGTGCCTGGAATCCCGCACTTTGGGAGGCTGAGGCAGGAGGTTCACAACTTCAGTCCCCACCTGGACACCATGGCAGGACCCTGTCTCAAAATAAAAATTTAAAAAAGGGATTGGGCT